AGTCAGATCTATAACCTGTCAGTCTCCAGAGGACAAGCCTCAGAGTGTTTTTGGTGACCAGTGTTGTCACTTCTGAGCTGGGAGATGGCTGACACAGGAGTACAATGTCAGACTTCCTGGACCTGTAAGTGGGAGATGTAAGAGCCAGAGGATAGCTGCCGGTCAATAAACAGTGTTCTCTAGGCTACGGTGTCAATATGGATGTGAAGAGCTGCATGTTCCTGAATAGCATTTCCTTTGGTAACTAGATTTTAGCTTAAATCAAAATGGAAGAGAATCACGTTGAAAATACGCTGGGCCCTATTCTGGCTTCGGGCTTGGAGCTGTCATAATTTCTTCCCATGCGCCATTAATCCTGTACAGACTATACTGTCTTTGCCCCACCCATGCAGTGAGATCCCTCCAGTAACAGGAGTCATCTGCAGGGCATTGTGTTGGATGGAGCTGAGCATGTGTACTTGGGCCAGTGTAACCCACTGTTCAGTGTGTGTTGCCGATCCATAGAAAATATGAATCTGCTGCAAGTGCCCGCTAGACACTTAGTTCGGTGGCTTATTCTTTAGGTCCTGGGTTCAATCCTCTCCGACGATCAAGATGATGGCTGTTCTCCCAGGCCCCAAAGGTTCACCACCCATCTTGCTTCTTTGTTAGAATGTAGACTGGCACCTCAGTCAGCTGGGTATCAAAAGAGAACTGTTTCTATTGTTTTCAGAATTTTTATTAGGTTTGAGGTTTTTTTGACCGAAACAGGTGAAATTGGCATGAATTCATGCAACGGTTTGGTGTCCCTGAATCTGCATCTTTTGCTGAAGAAAGGTTTAGGGTGGAAAAATTTTGCCCAGCTCTATTTAGAAGCAATGTTTCTAACAGGTGGAAATTGGTTTGCAATCTCTTGCACTGGACTTCCACACTGCCAGGGCCACTGGTTATTTATTATTTGTCCCATGGTAGCACCTACGGGTCCCAGTCGTGGATCAGGGTTCCGTTGTGCTAGGTGCTGTACAAACACATGCCAAAAAGATGGTCCTTGCCTTGAGGAGCCCACCTCGCGCACTAAGCACAGAAATTCCAGTTACATTACCTGGTAATGAGCACTTATAATCCTGGGAGCCTTGAATAGCTTGGGCGCTGGTTTGCTTTAAGGAAGAAAATATGTGTTGTATAAACCCTTTCTGAAAGAGTTAAAATGTCTATGGGCTAAATCCTGCTCCCCGTGCAGATATGCCCTTCGCTCGGTATTGACAGCTGGGCAGAAAAGTGAAGGAGAAATTAAAAAAAATCATGCAAGTTGATCAAGGCTGCGCTACTGAGAAGTAAAAGGAATCTGATAAAGCAGAGCCCCCAGAGAGCTCTGCTATATGTTTCACTCTGTTCAAAGGGATGCCGTTTGTCTCATATCATCATTACAGACTCTGGCGTTGTATTGTTCCTTGGCCTATAGTCTTCTTGGCTCTGTGGAGCGTCCATGTTTGCATTCAGGAAGTGTTGTTGGATATCACATATTTTTTTAATGTTTCAGGTTCATTTCAACACATTGATATTGGGTAAAATTTAACTGGAAAACCAGGCTGATCACAGATGATGTACATACAATACAGGGCCCTCATGGTATGAATGCTCAGATTCGAACTCCTCATAGATTATTGGCACTGAAATGAAAGGTTATGCCGTATATCTCAAGGAAGGTAAATTACCCGAGCTTTGCAATAAAGTCTCAGATTTGGCAATATTTAGACACCTCAGAGATGCAATGATTTGGGGAATTTTAATATAGAGAAACATGATCTGAGCATAGAAGTGGGGGCCAGACATTCCTGAATCAACCAAGACTCCAAATCCCAGCTCTGGCACTGA